TGGAACCTCTTCTAACCAGTTCGGTAGATTTGACGAACCGGTTCTACCGAATAGGTGCGAACTGGTAGGAACCCACCTCCGAAATGCAGTGATTGTAAAGCCAATCCACAGTCATTAATCAAAGTCAATGAGAAGCTCAGTGGCTGACATGGTTAGGATGCTGGGTTGAAGCTTTGCAAGCCTGCATTTGAGACCCGAGTGCTGCTGCATGGGGGGTGGAGGGGGTGAGTTCCAATCATTCGCTCCTTGATAGGGACATGAAAAGAGCCCCCCCCCCCAGGCAACCCTCAGACAATGGTGATGTGACCCACTAATCTTTTCAACTTGGAAGCGCCTTCAACTGTGCCTCCAATATGAACAGGGCAGGGATCAAATCCAATATTCGCTATGGGGCGGTCTTTGTTGGAAACTGGAAATAAACACTTTTCCTGCAAAAAATCACAAATCGTTGTTATGACTGCAGGACACTGCAATTGGTGATAATACAGGCCAATTGCCAAGCCCACAAATGTAGTCATGTGACTGCAGCGGGGAAGGCTGAACATTAGAACGTCAAAACCAGAACATGTCCCATTTTTTGGGGGGGGGGGACATATCAAAACTTTGATTGCTAAGTGACTCATCATAAGTCAAGGACTACCTGTAAACAGGGAAACATAGGGCATCTCCTATGCCCCAACTGATCTCTAGCTATATTTTATTTGTAAATCCAGGTCAAGAATTGCTTGATCTTGTCACAGGTGCATCAGCATCTCACTGGAGGACACAAATTTTCATAGCTTGTCATTTATTTGGAGTTTCCAAGAATAAGAAAACACAAGACTGTTGATAAAACCAAACTATTCAAACCAATTAATACTATGAATAAAGTCACCAGAAATGCTGCTACTTCCAATCATACCCCAAGGGTATTCAGAAGTGGATTGGTTTCATGTTTTCCAAAATGCCATTAGAAGTGGGCACGTTTGGCTTCGGAGCAAGCTGCTCCACAGAGAAGGGGCTCTCTTCCATATATAAGAATATCATTCTCTGGGTCCCAATGCCCCTGCATTTTCTAAGTCGGTATCTGGAAGATCCGCATCTTACTGGGTCAGTTGGGGTGATATAGATTCCGTGACCCGTCAAAAGCGCGAACGTCATAAGCGCGCCAACAACACCGCGGCGCTAAAACCGCGATTTCAAAAGCACGCAGACAACAGCGCGCTGACAACAGCGCACCGACAGAAGCGCGATTTCATTTAAGGTANTTTGAACTGCTGAACTGCAGATAGCAGTCAGCTGAAGTGGCCTGCAGTAGTGCACCCTAACCACTGCGCCACCTCGGCTCTTTAACCAATTGTGTGGTCAATCTTTTTGTAGTTTGGGTTATATACTTTGCATGGGGAAATATGAAGACTAAGCTGTTTCATACAAAAAGTGTCAAGTATAAAAATTCTTGTTAGTTGTCCTTGTCAACAGAGAACTGATGAACATAGTACTACAGTTCCCCAGTAAAGAGTTCTGTACACTATACAATTTAAACATGTATAAATGTGAGGGGTGCTTGCATTGCATCTTGGGGCCTTCCACAGTGCCCCCACGCCCCGTTATGGCTTCCAGGTTGATGCAGGAGGCTTTCCAGGCCCAAAATGGGGTCCAGGGGGCTGCGTGCACATGCGGGGGAGTGCGGGGTGTGTGTGTGCATGTGCAGGGATGGGGCACATACACGGGGCCGGGTACACATAGGGGCTTTACGCATGCATTGCACTATGGGTCTGGATGTGCACCAGTGGTGGTATACTTCCCACTAGTGGTCTTATTTCCTCCAGCTTTCAATCAGAGGCATATATTATACACTCATGTTCTGCCTTTGTTTTAGAGCTAACCATCGGGAGCTTTGTCTGGGTGATGATTATCTCAGACCTAGTTCTTACAGCAGTTATTTTGTTGACAGAAATACTATAAATAAGAATACAGAAGCAGTGCAGAACTTATCCTTCCCAATTCCCCCCCCCCTTTCTTGTCAGTGTTGACTCCTTCCTACTGCCTCGATTAGTTTCTTCAATTGTCTTTGGGGGGGGGGGGTTGGAAGTGGTTTGCCATTGCCTCTTTACTCAGGCTGAAAGAAAGTGACTGGCCCAAGGTCACTCGGCCGGCTTTGTGCCTAAGGCAGGACTAGAGCTCCCACTCTCCTACTTTCTAGCCTGATTCCTTAATCATTACACCTGACTGATTCTGTCTTCCTAACTGTGTGTTTGTATCTGTCTGTCTGTATGTGTGTCTGTATATCTAGTATGTATGTATGTATGTATGTATGTATGTATCTCTATCTATTTCTCTATCTATCTCTCTATCTCTCCATCTATTTATCATCCATCTATCTATCTATCTATCTATCTATCTATCTACCTACCTACCTACCTACCTACCTACCTACCTACCTACCTATCTATCATCTATTATAACATCTATAATATCATCTATCTAAACATTCCATCTTTTATAGGAAACAGTTTTATAAGAAACAGTTTTTACAGCTCTGTTAGTTTCTTATTGTACACATTTCCCCCAGAATTAGTCTTTTAATTGGTTAAAT